TAATCCAGTGTTTCTCAACTCCAGTCCTCATGGACCCCCAACAGGTCATGTTTTCAGGATTTCCCTCAGATGAAACAGCTGTGGTAATTACTAAGGCAGTGAAACTGATCAAATCACCTGTGCAAAATAATGGAAATCCTGAAAACATGACCTGTTGGGGGTCCATGAGGACTGGAGTTGAGAAACACTGCCTTAATCTAATGCACTGAGTGTGCTGATGCTCCTTCATTGTCCAGTCATCCCAGTTAGAGTAGAGCCTGTCATTAGTCTCTATTGAAGTTGAGATAAAATGAGCTCCTCAACCTGGCTATGCTGTTTGACTGGCCAAGCTGTATAATTGATATTTAGACTCATAAAACAGTTCAAACAGTACAATACAGTTCAGTAACACAAACAATGTATTTAGCTGTTTGACTGAAGTTAAATTAGGAGGTAAAATTGTGAACTGGAGCCTATTAGGGTTTTTTTTTTTTTTTTTTTAGGATTTACAAGTGTATTCTGTGCATTAGCTGGTTCCTGCACAATGCCTTCGTTCACTCCCATTGTATAGAAATCAGTGGAAATATCTCTAAAGTGAGGACTATGCATTTATCTTCAAGAAGTACATTTTGGGAACAAAACCATAGAGAAAAGTGTGGACTATACATTCCAGTCACCCCCACCCCATATTCTCTTTAAAGCGGAACTCAACTGTATCTGCGTGCCACAAACTGAAAACACTATGTATTTTAAACTCACCTATCCATCCATGTCTCCATACTAATCACTTTGAAAAACTCTCCCTTAGCCGTGGCCATCGTGAGTAAGGGCTGATGATTTGTGTAGCTTTTACTTCCTGGAATCCATCTACCCTTAGCTCAGGCATGCAAAAAGGTGTGCTTAGCTGAGAAAGCCCCTTCTCCCCTCCTCCAGATAAAAGATACAATGTGCCCAGGAAGACTGCTGAGATGTATGACATCACTTTGGTCTAGGCCAGAATCCAGGAAGTAACTAAAAAAAAAAGTTTATAACAAGTAAATATCCATTTGCCGACCACCCTATAGCAACTTTACTGCTACAGGGCGGCTGCTGTGTGCAGAATCACGTATATATACACGATCTGCATTTCCGGCTAGGGGGCGCGCCTACCTGCTCTGTCATTGGCTTCCTTACATGACAATCATGAATGTCCAGGCCAGAGATTCATGGCCGGGTCCTGGCAATCGACAGAGCAACTGACGGGAGAGATCTGTGAATGTAAACAACACAGATCTCTTTCCAGTCAGCAGAGATGTTCTGTTTTTTTTAAAAAAACCAGCACATCCCCTAGTACAGGGGTCTGCAACCTTTAAGACATAAAGAGCCACTTGGACCCGTTTCCGAGAGGGAAAAAAAGACTGGGAGCCGCAAAACCATTGCAACATTTAAAACAAATCCGACACTGCATATATTGCAAAAAGCGCTCTGGTCATGAAGGGGGTTTAAGGGCCCAGTAAGCAAAGGGTTAATCAGGGCCACAGTGTATCGTCATAATCACAATCATAGCCTTAGGTCAGTGGTGGGCAACCTTTTTTTTCAACTGAGCCAAATCTCGCCAAAACCACGATTGAAATTTATTTTGAGAGCCACATTTTTAAAACTGAAAATACATCCCCCATATAGTAATTCATCCCCCATAGTAATTTCCCCCATAGTAATTTATCCCCATATAGTAATTCATCCCCCATAGTAATTCATCCCCCATAGTAATTCATCCCCCATATAGTAATTCATCCCCCATAGTAATTCATCCCCCATATAGTAATTCATCCCCCATATAGTAATTCATCCCCCATATAGTAATTCATCCCCCATAGTAATTCATCCCCCACATAGTAATTCATCCCCCATATAGTAATTCATCCCCCATATAGTAATTCATCCCCCCTATAGTAATTCATCCCCCCTATAGTAATTCATTCCCCATATTGTGTCAATTCACTTACCTTTGCTCCGCGTGTTCCTCTCGCCGTGTTCCCGCGTCGTTCCGGTCTTCAGGGCGGACTGTGAGAGGAGAGGAGTTCGTCACGCTGCCCCGCCTACATCCTGACAGCCAATGTTTGCCATGCTCCGCGGGCCGGATTAAAAGGTCCGCCGGGCTGTAGTTTGCCCATTGCTGGGCTAGCTGCAGAGTCCCTGACTTTTGGGGCGGCCGCCCGAGAGGAGGGAGGGGAGCGGGCGCCCGGCACACAGAAGACCCTATTGCAGGGGTGGGCAAACTTTTTGACTTGAGGGCCGCAATGGGTTCATATATTGGACCCGAGGGCCGGACCAAGAGTAGATGAATGATGTGTATGTGTCATCCATAGTAAGTATAGTAATATTCCCCCATAGTAAGCATAGTAATTAATCCCCCATATAGTAATTCATCCCCCATAGTAATTCATCCCCCATATAGTAATTCATCCCCCATAGTAATTCATCCCCCATATAGTAATTCATCCCCCATATAGTAATTCATCCCCATAGTAATTCATCCCCCATATAGTAATTCATCCCCCATATTAATTCACCCCCCATATTAAGTCCCCAAGTCCCCCCTGTGTCAATTCACTTACCTTTGCTCCGCGCGTTCCTCTCGCCGTGTTCCCGCTCCGTTCCGGTGTAGCATGAAAATCTGTCTCCTATGAGGATCTGTCCCCCTCGATGTATGTATCTGCGCATGTGCCAGTTTCAGGCAATAGCAGCCGATCGGCGATCTCCGGCACATGCGCAGCTACGTCGAGGGGGACAGATCCTCATAGGAGACAGATTTTCATGCCACACCGGTCTTCAGGGCGGACTGTGAGAGGAGCCTAGCGGGAGCCTAGCTCCGCGGGCCGGATTAAAAGGTTTGCCCATTGCTGCCCTATTGCCTGTCACCTGGTGGGCAGTGTGCTCCGGAGCCGCAGCCAAGGTGAAAAAGAGCCGCATGCGGCTCTGGAGCCGCGGGTTGCCGACACCCACCCTAGTAAAACACCACACAGTAAAAACACTCCTTAGCACACATTTAAACCTTTGATTACCCCAGATGGATGGTAATCCCTCCCTTCCCATTGTCATTAGTATAGTGACAGCGCTTTTTATTAGCACTGATCAATGTATTAGAGTCACTGACGATACCAGTGGAATTTAGTCAGTTCCCACCCAGTGTCAGTTAGTGTCAGAATGCCCGCTGTACTATCACAGTCCTGCTATAAGTCACTGATCGCTACCATTACTAGTATATAAAAGAAAAAAAATTCCAGTATCTATACCATTGTTTGCAGACGCTATAATTTTCACGCAAACCAACTAATATATACTTATTGGTATATTTTTTTTACCAAAGACGTAGCAGAATATATACAATTTATGTAGTAGAAATGTATTTCATTTTTATTTTTTTACTGGATATGTTTTTTATAGCAAAAAATTAAAAATATTGTTTTTTTTTTTTGAAAATTCTTTCTTTTATAGCACCAACATTTAAAGAAACCCAGTGGTGATCATAAACACCAAAAGAAAGCATTATTTGTGTGAAAAAAAAATTATATAAATTTAATTTGTGTACAGTGCCAGTTAAATAGCCCAGCGCCGTATAGCAAAAAATGGCCTGGTCATGAAGGGTGGGTAGCTCTTTCGGAGGGCAAGTGGATATAATATACTTTCCTATCTATTTACTGATGCTAGCAGCATAAGGATTAAAAATCGTTAAAAGAGAAGTATGGCTTTCTGAATAAAAAAAAAGTATGCTCCCCTAGATGTGATGCTGCATCTGTCCCTCGCTGGCTCTGCAGTGAGAACTGAGCGATCAAACACTGTGATCACTCCGTTTTCCCCTCCGCTCTGAGCAGGGAGCCATGACTGTCAGTCACTGGCTCTCTGCTTTGCCCCTCCAGCACTCACCGGAGCATTGGGCTGTGGAGGGGGCAGGAGGGGCTGGCTCAGTCTCTGAGAGTGGAGTGCTGAGAGGTCGAGCCAAGTGGCAGTTTAGGCTTCTGGGTGGATTTTGACTATAGGGTCGGCATCTTTCCAGAACCTGGACTGACTGTGAGAAATACAGCCAAAAAAGCTTTTTATATCACATAAATACTGTAAATACACACAAGAACCAGTACTTATTCTCTTATTTTCATCACTTGAGATGGTCATTACTTTATTGTATGCATCTTAAGAAACCACCTGCTTCATGTTGCATCATAGAATATTTTTTTTTGTAACCAAGAGTGTAATTTTAACATTTTCTTTAGCTTGAGGTGATTGTAGCCATATTAGTGCATTTGCAACAGAAACAATTGAGTACTGTCCATGATACTTTTTTTATTTGCACTAACATACAATTTTGAGGACAAGCTTTAGGGGAATGTCCACTTCTTCAGGTCTAAGCAGTACTGAAACAAAGATTTAGCAGAATGTTGGAAGAGATGTAGGGGATGGGAAAAAAAACAAAAAACAAATAAGGCACAGCAAAAGCAAAGTCTGGGGGGGAGGCGGTAAGACAACACTAGCAGAGGCAGTCATGCTTGAGCTGATAGTCATAAAAATGTTGGATAATGAGTAAGGAATCCCATGTCCAAATTCAGGCCGTTATCTCTTGTGTCAAATAGAATTATCATTCTTAGTTCAAAAGTTTTTCTTTCCTGAATGGATCTGAAATTTCCTTTAAGAACTAAAACATTGAGGTCTTCCATAGTGTGGTCTGGTTGTGTGAAATGGTGTCCCACAGGTGTGCAAAGGTCATCTTCTTTATGTTCCTTGACATTAAATTTATAATTTTATTTTAACATTTTATTTATAATTTTAATTTCAGATCCGTCTTAAGAAAACCCTGACCGTAATCACATTGCCCGTGCCTGAAGGAAATCTACACCAGAGCACGATGGAATGTAAAATTCCACCATACAGCATGTTACCTGCTTGAAGCATTTCTTCATGCATCTCTTTCAAAGCCCAATTAAAGTAAGTGCAAGCTGCATTATAAATGTCTTTAAGGCTGGTTCACATCAGATGCAGTCCAGTGCAGGGGCGGACTGACCATTTGGAAACTTGGGCACTACCCGAGGGCCCGGGGTCAGTAGGGGGGGCCCATGAGATGCCCTTGGTACCTTTTTCATAGGCTTTTTTGAGTTTGGGAAAGGACACAGGGGCCCCATGATCCCCTATTGCCCGGGGGCCCCATGAATTGTCAGTCCACCCCTGGTCCAGTGCATTTTAAATCTGCATCAAAAACACATTCACAGTGTTTTCTATGTATACCAATGGCCCTAGTTCACACTAGTGCAGTGCTTTTCAGTGCAGTCAACAAAAAGTAGAACATGCTGAAATTTTTCTGTATGGAACGCATCTGGAATGCAGCAAAACGCAGCAAAATGCATCAAAAATACACCAGAATGCACATGTACTGGATTGAGATGAAGATGCATCAAAAACGCACCTGAAAAAAGTAGAAATTGTGGCATGAACCAGCCCTTAATTATCTCCAGAGTCATTGCTGCCATGACTAACAGTCTGAAGGTCCTTGATTTGTTCCAGCTGAATGTGAACAGTTGCTATCTGCTGTTTAAAGCCAGTACACTTAACAAAGACTCCAAATGGTAGAGTTTTATCTGTTGGCAGCTGAATTGGCATTACGACTAGTGAGTAATAAAGGAAGTTTGTACTAATCTGTCATTAATACAGCTGTGAAAAATAACTGACATTAAATGGTTAATGCACCATGGGGGTAAATAAATTTAAGGGATTGCTGATTGGTTTCAGAGAAGGTAACAAAGGTTTTTGCAGTATTTATCCTTAAAAATTGGGGATAATTCATTTTGTTTAATCCAGATTTAATGCTAAACTGAACAGATACTAAAAACACTATTTAATACAGTAATGTATCCCTTATAAAACAAAAAAATCATCAAAATATTTTTTTTTCTATTTTTTTTTTTGCAACCACAAAATGTTCCAGAAACACAACTGTGATCCCTTATTTTCACTTCTTATTGCATTTATTATATATATATATATATATATATATATATATATATATATATATATATATATATATATATACTGTAGTGTGTATGTATGTATATATATATATATATATATATACACTGCTCAAAAAAATTAAAGGAACACTTTTTAATCAGAGTTTAACATCAACATAAAGTAAATTAATAGCCTCAAGTAAATTAATCTCCTGGGATATTGATCTGGTCAGCTAAGTAGCAGAGGGGGTTGTTAATCAGTTTTAGCTGCTTTGGTGTTAATGAAACTTACAGCAGGTGCTCTAGATAGGCAACAATGAGATGACCCCCAAAACAGGAATGGTTTTACAGGTGCAGGCAAACTATTTATTCCCCTACGCATTTTTTCTGACTGTTTTGTACTAGTTGTGCATTTGGCTAGGGTCAGTGTCACTTCTGGTAGCATGAGGCTATACCTGGACCCTACAGAGGTCGCACAGGCAGTCCTACCCCTCCAGGATTGTTTGTGGTGTCTCCCAGCACAGTCCCAAAAGCATTGAGGAGATTCCAGGAGACAGGCAGTTACTCTAGGAGAGCTGAACAGCGACATAGAAGGTCCTTAACCCATCAGCAGGACCGGTATCTGCTCCTTTGTACAAGGAGAAACAAGGTGAGCACTGCCAGAGCCCTACAAATTAACCCCCAGCAGGCCACTGGTGTGAAATGTCTCTGACCAAACAATCAGAAACAGACTTCATGAGGGTGGCCTGAGGGCCCGACATCCTAGTGGGCTCTGTGCTCACTGCCGGCACCATAGTGCTCTTTTGGCATTTGCCATTGAACACCAGAATCGGCAGGTCCGCCACTGGCGCCCTGTGCTTTTCACAGATGATACCAGGTTCACCCTGAGCACATGTGACAGACGTGAAAGGGTCTGGAGAAGCCGTGGAGAACGTTATGCTGCCCGTTCAGCATGACCGTTTTGGTGGTGGGTCAGTGATGGTCTGGGGAGGCATATCCATGGAGGGATGCACAGACCTCTACAGGCTAGACAATGGCACCCTGATTGCCACTAGATATCGGGATGAAATCCTTGGACCCATTGTCAGACCCTACGCTGGTTCAGTGGGTCCTGGGTTCCTGCTGGTGCACGACAATGCCAGGCCTCATGTGTATGCAGTATGCAGGCAGTTCCTGGAGGATGAAGGAATTGATCCCATTGAATGGCCCCCACACTCGCCTGACCTAAATCCAATAGAACACCTCTGGGATATCATGTTTCGGTCCATCCGACGCCACCAGGTTGCACCTCAGACTGTCCAGGAGCTCAGTGATGCCCTGGTCCAGATCTGGGAGGAAATACCCCAGGACACCATCCGTCATCTCATTAGGAGCATGCCCCAATATTTTCAGGCATGCATACAAGCACGTGGGGTCATACAAACTATTGAGTACCATTTTGAGTTGCTGCAATGAAATTTCAGCAAAATGGACTAGCCTGCTGCATCATTTTTTCACTTTGATTTTCAGGGTGCCTTTGAATTCAGTCCTCTGTAGGTTGATCATTTTCATTTTCATCAAATGATGGGGCATCCTTATATTCCTAACACATTATCCAGTCCATATCAGTGTAGAAATCCAGTTGATTGATATTTGAATGATATTTTTCCCCATTGAGATCTGATGTGTTTTCAAAGTGTTACTTTATTTTTCTGAGCAGCGTATATATATATATAAATAATTGGGGGTACAGTGTTGGCCAGAACTATAGAAGAAAAAGACATGGGGTGCTTATTTCAGATGAATGCAAAATGAGCTGGAATGGGATTATGGTGTGTATCACTAGAGGGATCACCAGCTAGAAGGTCCTAATTCCAGTATATAGAGCTTTAGGCTAAGCACACACAGGCCGAATATCAGGCGGTATCGGCCTGTTCAACAGAAATCCGCCGACATTCGTCCCATGTGTACAACAGCCTGTCCAACAGAAGCCAGACGTTTGTCCGGCGTCTTTCGGAGGGACATAACCGAAAAAAGGTCTGCCGACTGCCTTCCGAACAGCGCTCTCAGCCAATGTCTGAGAACACTGACCATTGTGCTCGTGCAGGGGGAGCCAGTCCCCCTTTCAGAACACAATGGCACAGGGGGTGAGATCGCTATACTAACACCGCTTGTGTTAGTAGAACGATTTGTCAGTTATTTTGTGTTCGGTCCGCTGGGCTGGATGATAAAACACTAACAGTGCATAGGAGACGTTAGTGAGACATCGTTTGAAATACTGACCAGTTCTGGAGACCTCACTTAACCTCTTGGCACTGGCCAAATGCAAATGTGTGGCTTCCCGGCGTCTGGGCCTAGACGCTGAGTGGCCGCACACTTGCGTTCTATTAAAAAAACATATGTGCTGAGAGCGCGCGCAGAGTGTGCAGAGGTCCCGATCTCCTCTTTTGATCGGGACCCTTCCCGATCATGTGACCACCTTGACAGTGAATCATGGAGGTCACATGACCCTAAAACCCCCAACCACCTCCCGGCTTCTGGAATCCTTAAAGGGCCGGGAGGCGTCGGCGCCAAGAGGTTAAGAAAAGATATTGATAAGATGGTAACAGTCCAGGGACAGACAACATAAATAGTGTCTAAGGATTAACAAAATATCAGAAATTACAGGAGGAACTTGAAGTTGGGAGAAAGCTAAACTCTTGGATTTCTGTAAGAAATGCCCTTGCAGTGCCCCCCGCCTCCTGCACTAGAGGGTCAACTGCTTGTTAGGTATAGGTGTAGAATACCTTATTCGTCACACTGGCAGGCCCTGGCGCTCTCTTCTTCTCTCCAATGCTCCAAGATGTGCATGGGTCCTGGCTGTCCTCCTGACTACTGATAATGCATTGCATGTGATGACATCAGAGCTCGACCACTGGCCTTAGGCTAGAAGCACACCTCAACTGAGTTCAATGCACACAGGTGCAGCTCACTGGTTCATCCTTATTAGGGTTAAAACAGGTGAACACATGCACATGAGAACAAGCCAGAAGTGAATTTAAACAAACTTGAAATAAACATACAGTAGGTCTATACAAAAAGTCAAAAAAAAACCCAGAAGGGTGGATTCTGCGAGGGTCCTACCACTCTGCGATCGCCTAGGCCAGGGGTATTGAATTCAAATTCACAAAAGTCCAGTCAGTAAAATTTCCTTCCAGCAGAGGTCCAAATCACGTTTGATTCTTAAAGGCACCTATGTGCAATGGCAAAAAAAACGGCGCGTTTGGTCACAGTGCCATGTAGCTCGGTATGGCGCCATTTAAAAAGATGGTCAGGGACTTCTTTCTCTGCGTTTCTGTGTATAAGGAACCTAGCCTCTGATCCTTCACATCACAGTTCTGTTATTACATCAGTGTTCTCAGTCCCCCTGCACATCATCCCTCCCTTCACATCACAGTCCTTAGTTCCCCTTCACATTCTTGTCCTCAGCCCCCCTTTATATCACCCCCCCCTACTTCAAATTGCCGTTACCATCCCTCTTCATATCACCCCCCTTCGCGGTCTTGTTCTCAACCCCTTTATAGCACCCCTTGTTCACATTGCAGTCCCCAGCCCTCCTTCACATTCCTGTCCACACCCCCTTTATAGAACCCCCCTTCACATTGTAGTCCCCAGCCATCCTTAACATTCCTGCCCACACCCCCCTTTATAGAACCCCCCCTTCACATTGCATTCCTTAGTCCCCCTTCACATTCTTGTCCTCACCCCCTTTATAGAACCCCTCCTGCACACTGCAGTCCCCAGCCCCCTTTCACATTCCTATCCTCATTCCCTTTATAGCACCCCCCTTCATATTCCTGTCCTCGCCCCCTTTATAGAACCCCCCTTCACTCTGGAGTCCCCAGCCACTTCATATTCCTATCCTCATCCCCTTTATAGAACCCCCTTCTCACTCTGCAGTCCCCAGCCCCCCTTCACATTCCTGTCCTCACCCCCTTTATAGCACCCCCCTTCACGTTCTTGTTCTCACCTCCTTTATAGAACCCCCCCTTCACTTTGCAGTCCCCAGCCCCCCTTCACATTCCTCTCCTCTTCCCATTTATAGAACTCCTCCTTTACACTGCAGTCCCCAGCCCCCCTTCACATTCCTGTCCTTGCCCCCTTTGTAGAACCCCCCTCCTTTCATAACGCTCACTTCACATTCCTGTCCTCACCCGCCCCTTTTATATCACTCCCTTCCCTTCACATTAGTTTCTGAACCCCCTTCACATCACCCCCCGGCTTCCCCCGTACTTCATAGTAGTGACAGACCCCACTTCCCTGTCCTACGTTACCTCCGCAGAAGGCGGAACGCACAGAAGGTCTAGAGCTGAAATCGGAAGGGCAGCACAGTGATGGACAGAGCTGCCCTAGTTAACTGATTGGTTGCTATGATGCAGGGAAACCCTAGAAATCAATCAGTTAACTGGGCCAGCCACTGTCCTCTGTACATTGTTGTGCTGCTTCCGTATGTCAGCTCTGCAAAGAAAACAGTGCCAGCGGCAGCTGGTGGGGGGAGAACTGGCTCCTAAACGGCGTGACCGTTGCGGGTCCGGGAGGACATTGGTCTTGGTCCGCATCCGCCAGTTTACTGATGGCTGGTCTATGCAGGAAGTGGAATTTCTCCAACCCCCCCCCCCCCCCCAAAGTCTTCTGGGACATGTGACAGGTCCCGAAGGACTAGGGGACCATGCCCAATGTGTAGCGCTGCTCACGCAGGCGCAGTGGTCACCCGGCTGTGAAGATACCACACTTAAGATGCCAGGGGCACATGACTGCTGGTGATCCTGGCTGCGGTGAGGACACCACTGGATCCTGGGAAGATGAGTGGCTGTTCTTTAAAAGTCAGCAGCTACAGTTTTTGTTTTATTTTTTATTTTTACCAGAGACTGAAGCTCTGCTTTAAGTGAATTGTTGTACAATACTATTATCTTGTATTTGCTATTTTATATTTCTTTTCTGTTTCTTTTTTTTGTATGGTTGCAAAATCTTAATAAATTCTAATTATAAAAAAATGGTGGACTCAATGAACCGCTTGGTCTTTAGCTGCTGTCAGTGTTCTGCGTTTCAATGGTGTTTTTTTTTTTTACGTTAAGCTACCAAGTATTTGAAACGATAATATGCAGGCCACACAGAGCTTGAATTTCAGCTAATTCAGCAGGAAATTTCAGCTGTCAGTGGCCCTGTCAGCCCAAGAAACTTTGATCTAAAAATCGAAAGAACTATTAAAACATTCTGTGCCAAACAGTGACTGCAACCAATCAGATGTTGTTACTGATTGGGTATCCCGATAGCCACGGGAACAGCGGCTGTCAGAATACAAAAGCCAGGAGGGGAGACTCCTCCACACTGTTTCGAATGGATGAGGGAATATAATTATTATTTTTTTAGAGAAATTCTAACGTGTATAGCTAGTCCTAGCCTTGTGTAAGAGTTGGTACTGGAGCACTCAGACTTGGAAAGAAGAGGTTACAGTCTAAGGCTCCATGTACACTGCAGCTGATAAACTCATGTTTAGGAGCTTTTCTGTGTTTTTTTCAGCAGCTCCTGAACTCTCCCTAATGTTTTCCTATGTGTCCATGTACACTATGTGTCCTATGTTTTTACAGTCGTTTACAGGTAGTTGAGTTTACAGTCGTTTTTTTGAACACACCAAACTTACATGTAAACGCGTGTAAATGCAGCTAACTGCATTTATAAGCATTTGCATTTGGAAAAATTTTTTAACTGTTCCATTAACAGATTCTGTCCAAAGCCTTTTTTCATCAAGAAAAATGCATGCAAAGTGTTTTCCCGGTACTCAAATGGACCCGGTACACTGTACTTTGAGGTTTCGCATGAAAGAAAATATGTGAGACATTGCTGCAATAATTTCTGCACAGAAATGAGCTGGAACACATCCAAACACCACAAAAAAACAAGACAGCTAATCTAAACACATACTGCTCTCTCTGCTTCTGCTCTCTCTATTTCTCTCAAAATGTCTGAAATAGTTAATTAATTACTGTTTTCACTGCATTCTGGGCATTTTGGAAGGTCTCCTGAGGTTATCTTTAAAAAACGCTTCTATACGCAAACAATCATAAACGCGGTATACAAACGCGGCTAAACTGACATTTTTTAACCTACTTTTTCCAGCAGTCAGTTTCCATCGTTCAGAAGTGTGCCGTGTACATGGAGCCTAAAACAGTCCATGGTTCTCGTGCTTACAAAGATTGTCCTATGAGCACACAGGAATGACCTCATCAATGTCCTTCTGCTTCTTTATTGACAGGCCTGTGGTGGACAGAAAGTACTGTGTATATGCAGTTGTAGTAGTCTGCAGGACTTGGACAGTCAGTGTTCTATATATGTCTCTATAAACATGTCTTCATGTCTCCAAGTTCTCTTACTCTTGCATGATTGTACTCCTAACATGTTGTACACATAGGCCGGTATTTAACCACCTTCCGTCCGCCATATAGTACAATGACGGGCGCAAGGTGGTTCTCTTGTTCTGATAGGACGTCATATGACGTCCTTCCATTCTCACCGTGCATGCGCGGCTCAGGGAGCGCGCAGCGCAGCGATCGCCGGTGCGCTGTGTCACTTGGACACAGCGGATCACGGAAAGAGCCGAAGATGTCGGCTCGGTCATGAGATCAGCTGTGTCCAATCACAGCTGATCACATGTAAACAGGGCAAATGACGGTTATTGGCATTTCTCTCCTCTCAAGCTGTCACGCTGACAGCTCGAGAGGAGAGCTGGTAATCGGCTTTCCACGGAGGGGACATGTACACTGATCATCAGGGCACTGATGATCAGTGTGCCCTGATGATCAGTGTGGCCCCAGAAGTGCCACCTGTCCATCAGTGTCCATCAGTGCCAGCAGTCAGTGCTCATCAGTGCCACATGCCAGTGCCCATCAGTGCCACATCAATGCCAAATATCAGTGCATACCAGTGCACATCAATGCCACATGTCAGTGCCCATCTGAGCTGCCTTTCAATGTCACCCATCAGTGCCAGTCAGTACCACCTATCAATGCCAATCAGTGCCACCTATCAGTGCTGCCAATCAGTGCCACCTATCAGTGCCAGTCAGTGTCCCCTAGTGCTGCCTATCAGTGCGCATCAGTGCCGCCTATCAGTGCCAGTCAGTGCCGCCTAACAGAGCCAGTCAGTGCTGCCTAACAGCGCCAGTCAGTGCTGCCTAACAGTGCCAGTCAGTGTCGCCTATCAGTGCCATATATCAGTGTCATGTATCAGTGCTGCCTTTAAGTGCCCATCAGTGATGCCTGTCAATACCCATCAGTGCCACCTACCAGTGCCTCCTCATCAGTGCCCATCAGTGCCACCTATCAGTGTCCATCAGTGCAGCCTATCAGTGTCCATCAGTGCAGCCTATCAGTGCCCATCAGTGCAGCCTCATTAGCGCACATCAGTGAAGGAGAAAAATCACTTATTTACAAAATTATATAACAAAAACTAAGAAAAATGTTTTTTTTTTTCACATTATTCAGTGGTTTTTGGTTTAAGAAAAAATAAAAATCCCAGAGGTGATTAAATACCACCAAAAGAAAGCTCTATCTGTCTCAAAAAAATGATAAACATTTCATATGGGTACAGTGTTGCATGGCCGCGCAATTGCCATTCAAAGTGTGACAGCGCTGAAAGCTGGAAATTGGCCTGGGCAGGAAGGGGGTATAAGTGCCCTGTAGGCTTGTGGTTAAACAGGATGTAAGCAATAAGCAAAATGCTGTAACCCACAACAATCAATAACAGTCATCTTTCATTGTGTTGACTATCAAACTTTGAAAAATAAATTCTTAGTGGATCCTATGGACAACTGCAGATAACGGCTTTTCAGCTATTTTCTTATAAGTAATCTGATAGATGGACATTTACAATAATAAATTGTATATTTAAAAGGTGTACCGTGCCTTAGAAAATGTGTAATCTTCCTGTTAACTTATCAGAATTAGTATTTTTAACTGCTGATGTGTTAAAGTTTGTAAAGATTCATTTTGTTCCATAGTAACCATGATAAAAAACGATTTAGATTGTGCTTAGGCTCCATGCACCCAAGCGTTTTTTTAAGCTCCTAGAAACTGTTCATTAGCATTTTTTTCTGCTCCTAGATCTAAATAGTGCTATCCTATGTGTTCACACACACTACTTTAAGCTATTAGTGTTTTTTGAGCTTCAGCATTGAGAGAAAAAATGATTTTTGTAGAGTTTTTCGGAGCATTTTTCCAGTAGGAAAAAAAATGTCAAACGCTCCTAACAGTTTTTTTCTACACTTACTGTAAAAACTTTAATAAAATGCTAAAGATCCTAAACGCTTCTAAACACTACTAAAATGCTACTAAAAATGGTATTGCCAGCGTTTTTTATTCAGTGTTTTTTTAGCTTAAAAAAAATGCTAGTGTGCATGGAGCCTTAAAGTGTATTTCCACTTTTGCAGTCAAATTTGAGAAAACTCCACTATATGTTTGATATGTATTTCCATTCACATAACATTAATACTTTTTTTTTTAATTCCTACCTTTTAGATGTTTCTGAGGAAAAGGCCTCAGTCTCACAGTGTCTCTGTCCCCACATGGACTGGGGACATACTGAGTTGTCCCTCATTAACATACGTTCATAATAAGTTTTTTTTTTTTTTTCTTTTTTTGTTTTTTTTTTTTTTTTGGAGGGGTTGTTTTTTGTTAACTTTTTTCGTCTGAGTATAGATCTATGTTTGTCCCAAGAATGCCTGAAGCCATAAGCTTTGACCATTGACAGAGGGTATTTAAAGCGGCCCAGCCCATAGATAATTCACATTTTTTTTGTTCAACCAGCGTCCTCCCCACTGAGCTATTGTATTCTGACAGGGGGGGAAACTTCCCTGCTGTCAGAATACACTGTTCAGCACCACTGACTAAAGTGATCGAGTGGAAATTTTCTAACAGGGAGGTTATACAGAAAGGCCAGCTTAAATCTACTGTGGTTTACTACTGATAATGGAGATAATTATGGTACATATTAACTCCTCAACCCCCTTTCATTCCATAGGAAAATTCAGTTTAGTGGTAAAATGTGAGAATAAAGCTGGCCATACATTAACCACTTCAATACCAGACACTTTCACCCCCTTCCTGCCCAGGCCAATTTTCAGATTTCAGCTCTGCCGCACTTTGAATGACAATTACTCAGTCATGCAACGTTGTACTTAACAGAAATTGTTTTGCATTTTTTGAGACAGATAGAGCTATCTTTTGGTGGTATATAATCACCACTGTTTTTTTTTATTTTTTGCTAAATAAGCGGGAAAAAAACTGAACATTCTGGGGAAAAAAACATTTTTATTAGTTTATTATAAACATTTGCAAATAGGTAATTTTTCTTCTTCACTAATGTGTGCTGATGAGGTTTCACTGATGGGCACTGAAGAGGCTGCGTTGATGGGCATTGATGAAGCTGAACTGATGTGCACTGATGAGGATGCACTGATGTGCACTGATGAAGCTGCACTGATGGGTACTGAAGAAGCTGCATTGATGGGCACTGATGAAGCGGCACTGATAGGCACTGATAAGCTGCACTGATGGGCATTGATGGGGCTGCATTGATAATCAGGGAACTGATGAGGCTGCACTGATCATCAGGGCACTGTGTATCAGTGTAAATTCTGTACTCACTGTGCCCCTCACAGATCGTCTCTCCTTTCTTCATACGCTGTCCCTGTGTGAGGAAAGGAGAGCTGATAACTGGAAAAAGGAATTCAGTCTGTTTACAATGTGATAGCTGTGATTGGAAACACATGATCACATGGTAAAGGGCTGCTATAATTGGCTTTTTAATCCGATCTGTGATCTGCTGTGTCCAAGGCACACAGCGGTCACAGAGCTCTGCTGATGTGCACTCCAGGGGAAGGATGTCCAGGGACTTTCTCCCAGAACTGGAGAGCCACTCCTTAGCTGTTTATTGGTTATAGCACAGTGTTAAAGTAGTTAATTGTTTTGTCTTTGGTTCAACCAGCGGGTTGAGTGAAAAAAATGACCTGATTCCCTTATCCTCATGCTTTATGGGGATGGGGGGAAACACTACTGCTGTATTATTACATTCTGACTGTGAGGAAATTTCCCCACTGTCAGAAGACACTGATCAGTGTTGACAGTTGTAGCTGGGGGCACTGATTGTTCAGGAAAAATCCGACAGGCTAGTTGTACAAAAGTCAATTGGTAGATCAATTTCTGTACAACCACCCAGCCCATACACGGATCAAAATTTTGCTGGTCCTTGCTAAGTCATTTGTTCCCATTGTCTTTCTAGCCAGTGACGAGGGAGAGAGCCTCGAGTTCAGGATAAGGTAAGTGTGAGGAAGGGCTGAGGGGGTGCATGCAGAAGGTTTGTTACCTTAATGCACAGAATGCATTACAGTACAAAACTGTCTAGAACCGCTTTAAGAGCAGGGTGCATTTTTGGCAGATGAACAGGTATTTTTTGTATTCTCAGGGTCTTTGAAGGCATAGAACATGGGAAAACATACTGTACATGTATTGCAGAGATGGACTGCGTATATACTTTTTTATTTTCTGCCCTGGAATACACCTTAAAGATATAGATGACTTGATGTTAAAATTCTCCTTTACTTGAATCAATAGGTTACATGTCAATTTTACCAAATCTATGAGACTATCAGTGGCCATTCATCTTAGATTGGCCATATGTATGCTGAATAAAAAAAATAAAACAAATGCATTCCTCCATCGACACTATACAGCACAGATGAACGATTCTTTCGCTATGTCTACTGTATTATGACAGCTGTCACTCCCCTTTAAATAGGGAGAAATGCAGAATAGAACATGGTGGACTGGGGTTGTAATTAATAGTTACTGGCTTTCCATTTAAATGACATGGCTGGTGTGCATTTATACCAATGTAAGGTGAATTCCAGATAAGGTATATTTTTTCATGTTACATTGCTCTAGCCCAGACCAGTGTAACTCTGTATATATCATACCTGGAATCTGGTAATAACTGAGGTAGACATCGCAACATCACTGACCTCTATTTAATCCCTTATCCTGTGCTGATAGGCTGGCCTGCTGCATTGTGTACACAGGAGTGCCATTCAGAGAATGTTTTCCATTCAGAGTACCATTCAGAGAACGTTTTCAATTTTCTGAATGAATGCAAAGCGTTCTCTGATTGGTGGGGCAGCGATTTCATGCTATCCACTTCATCCAATCAAAGAATGCTCTGCAAAGCATTCTCTGAATGGCACCCGGGCTGAGTGGGTTCACAACACAGCAGACCAGCCACACAGCGCAAGACCAGAAGCAAATAGAGTTCACTGGAGTAGCAGTGTTGATTTCACTAATTTCCAGCTTCAAAGGACATTGGTTAAGTATGGTGTATACATTGTTAAAGCGATTCTAAAGGTTCCTTTTTTCTTTTTTGGAAAATAACAAACATGCTATACTTACCTGCTGTGTGCAGTGGTTTTGCACAGAACAACCTGTATCCTTTTCTTCTTGGGTCCCCTGCAGGCTCACCTGGCCCCTTGCTCCTGTTGGGTGCCCCCACAGCAAGCAGCTTTCTATGGGGGCATCTGCTGCTCCTTGTGTCCATTCACACACGGAGCTGTGGCTTGGCCCCTCCCCCCTCTCCTCATTGGCTGATTGGCTGTGATTGACAGAAGTGGGAGTCAATGGCTCCCACTTGCTGTCTCAGCCAATGAGGAGGCAGAGCCATTGTTGGACATCACAAACCCAAGGAGATGACACTAGGGAGGAAAGGATGACCCCTGACATAGGTCTAAAAAGGAACCACTGTGAAGGCCACAAGTTCTGAGTGCCAAAACAGCATGAGGCCGGTCAAGCTCGGTACCATCACCCATAGGTCATTGCCACTGAACAAACTGACATAGTAGGTGTATCTAGTAGAGACATATATACAAACATGAGTTCACAGAATAGTTTCAGATGATTGGGACAAAACCATTGGAAAACACAAAATATACTCCTAAACAAATGCAAAAGATGAGTGGAATAACCAAATCATATAAACAAAAAAAATTAAACATATATTAAA